ACTTTCCTCATCTTAACGGTTAAATGCATCAGGAACAGCAGGAGCAGCAGCACGTGCTGCATGAGACGGACCGACTCTGATGATTACAAGAACCCCAACAGAAACCTGCAAATTCAGCTCAACACTGATGGACCTATAAAGTACGTGGAGGTCCTGGGAGGAGACATGCTGTCTCAGAGTCAGTCCTTCAGGTCCTGTATGTCTCCAATGTCAGAGTACAGCGATTTCACTCTGATCAAACCCAGCAGCACCACAGACTTTAAGGAGGTGATCAGTGTCCTGGATGCTTCTTTACCCGACAGCACCTGGACCTTTGAGAGCCAGCAGGTGAGGACAAAAAAACAGTAGATCTAAGCTAAATGTTTTAGATCATTATTATTCTTATCGTCGTTTTTAAGTCAATTTGAAAAATCAGCGGTGTTCATTAAATTCTTGAAATGTTGCTTTTTTTGCACAGTGCAGATATTCTTTTTCAGTATAGATTTTTTTCTATTAGCATTATTAAAACTGTGGTATTGAATCGGAATTTATTGCAACTTATCTTTCCGTTAAGGGTTATTACTATTGTCCTTTTAACTCGTGATCCATTAGCATTAAAACGCGCGTTCCCATTTCAATCGAAAACCACTTAATTTACTTTCCTGTCTGAATCACCCTAAAATAATAACACCCTTTCAAAAAATGTTGTGGGTTTTTTGTTTGTTGGTTTGTTTTTTGTTTTTGCGTTTGTATATTTTTTTACTTCCACTCAGTCGTGATTTTCTTTCCATGAGTACTCTCTGATGATCTTGAAATATTCGCAATTGTTTCATTTTTCTCAGACGTCTTTCTACTGTGATAGAAAATATCACAAACACCGAAAACGTAATGATGGCAACATACTTAAAGAATCAGATTATTTCTTATCACGATCTAGTTCGTTTGATAACGTTCTCTTCTCTCTGTGACAGCAGTACACAATAATTTAATGTAAAGTATTTTTTTTCTTTTACTTTGGAAACAGGGCATTTTTCGTGTCTTTCCACTCTATTGTGCTTGTATAACACCAATTTGTATTCCCCTCTCTTGTTTGTATTGTGAGAGAGGTGGTGCAAAACCCTAACAGCTATGTTAGTGCTCCGTCATTGGATAGTATAGATGAATGCTCTGAACCAAT